AAAACTGTTTCTGTTACTTTTCTTCGAGGCATTTTTTTTCTAATACGTTTATCTGATGTTAATTATCAAGAAAAGCATGTTGTTTTTTGCTAAAAGTGTTTTTATTGAGTTTTATCTCTAATTTTCATTATATTATACGAAGCTGATGCACCAGGTCTTGCAAAATTGTTTCTGTTACTTTTCTTCGAGGCATTTTTTTTCTAATACGTTTATCTGATGTTAATTATCAAGAAAAGCATGTTGTTTTTTGCTAAAAGTGTTTTTTATTGAGTTTTATCTCTAATTTTCTTTATATTATACGAAGCTGATGCACCAGGTCTTGTAAAATTGTTTCTGTTACTTTTCTTCGAGGCATTTTTTTTTTCTAATACGTTTATCTGATGTTAATTATCAAGAAAAGCATGTTGTTTTTTGCTAAAAGTGTTTTTTATTGAGTTTTATCTCTAAGTTTCTTTATATTATACGAAGCTGATGCACCAGGTCTTGTAAAATTGTTTCTGTTACTTTTCTTCGAGGCATTTTTTTTCTAATACGTTTATCTGATGTTAATTATCAAGAAAAGCATGTTGTTTTTGCTAAAAGTGTTTTTTATTGAGTTTTATCTCTAATTTTCTTTATATTATACGAAGCTGATGCACCAGGTCTTGCAAAATTGTTTCTGTTACTTTTCTTGGAGGCATTTTTTTCTAATACGTTTATCTGATGTTAATTATCAAGAAAAGCATGTTGTTTTTTGCTAAAAGTGTTTTTTATTGAGTTTTATCTCTAATTTTCTTTATATTATACGAAGCTGATGCACCAGGTCTTGCAAAATTGTTTCTATTACTTTTCTTCGGAGCATTTTTATTCTAATATGCTTATCTGATGGCAATTATCAAGAAACGCATGTTGTTTTTTGCTAAAAGTGTTTTTATTGAGTTTTATCTCTAATTTTTCTTTATATTATACGAAGCTGATGCACCAGGTCTTGCAAAATTGTTTCTGTTACTTTTCTTCGAGGCATTTTTTTTTCTTATACGTTTATCTGATGTTAATTATCAAGAAAAGCATGTTGTTTTTTTTTTGCTAAAGTGTTTTTTTATTGAGTTTTATCTCTAATTTTCTTTATATTATACGAAGCTGATGCACCAGGTCTTGTAAAATTGTTTCTGTTACTTTTCTTCGAGGCATTTTTTTTTCTAATACGTTTATCTGATGTTAATTATCAAGAAAAGCATGTTGTTTTTTGCTAAAAGTGTTTTTTATTGAGTTTTATCTCTAATTTTCTTTATATTATACGAAGCTGATGCACCAGGTCTTGCAAAATTGTTTCTATTACTTTTCTTCGGAGCATTTTTATTCTAAAAGTTTATCTGATGGCAATTATCAAGAAACGCATGTTGTTTTTTGCTAAAAGTGTTTTTTATTGAGTTTTATCTCTAATTTTCTTTATATTATACGAAGCTGATGCACCAGGTCTTGCAAAATTGTTTCTGTTACTTTTCTTCGAGGCATTTTTTTTCTAATACGTTTATCTGATGTTAATTATTCAAGAAAATCATGTTGTTTTTTGCTAAAAGTGTTTTTTTATTAAGTTTTATCTCTAATTTTCTTTATATTATACGAAGCTGATGCACCAGGTCTTGCAAAATTGTTTCTGTTACTTTTCTTCGAGGCATTTTTTTTTCTAATACGTTTATCTGATGCTAATTATCAAGAAAAGCATGTTGTTTTTTGCTAAAAGTGTTTTTTATTGAGTTTTATCTCTAATTTTCTTTATATTATACGAAGCTGATGCACCAGGTCTTGCAAAATTGTTTCTGTTACTTTTCTTCGAGGCATTTTTTTTCTAATACGTTTATCTGATGTTAATTATCAAGAAAAGCATGTTGTTTTTTGCTAAAAGTGTTTTTTATTGAGTTTTATCTCTAATTTTCATTATATTATACGAAGCTGATGCACCAGGTCTTGTAAAACTGTTTCTGTTACTTTTCTTTGAGGCATTTTTTTTCTAATACGTTTATCTGATGTTAATTATCAAGAAAAGCATGTTGTTTTTTGCTAAAAGTGTTTTTCATTGAGTTTTATCTCTAATTTTCTTTATAGTATACGAAGCTGATGCACCAGGTATTGTAAAATTGTTTCTGCTACTTTTCATCGGGGCATTTTTATTCTAATATGTTTATCTGATGGCAATTATCAAGAAACACGTGTCATTTTTTGCTAAAAGTGATTTTAATTGAGTTTTATCTCTAATTTTCTTTATATTATACGAAGCTGATGCACCAGGTCTTGTAAAATTGTTTCTATTACTTTTCTTCGGAGCATTTTTATTCTAATATGTTTATCTGATGGCAATTATCAAGAAACGCATGTTGTTTTTTGCTAAAAATGTTTTTTATTGAGTTTTATCTCTAATTTTCTTTATATTATACGAAGCTGATGCACCAGGTCTTGTAAAATTGTTTCTATTACTTTTCTTCGGAGCATTTTTATTCTAATATGTTTATCTGATGGCAATTATCAAGAAACGCATGTTGTTTTTTGCTAAAAGTGTTTTTTATTGAGTTTTATCTCTAATTTTCTTTATATTATACGAAGCTGATGCACCAGGTCTTGTAAAATTGTTTCTGTTACTTTTCTTCGGAGCATTTTTATTCTAATATGTTTATCTGATGGCAATTATCAAGAAACGCATATTGTTTTTTGCTAAAAGTGTTTTTATTGAGTTTTATCTCTAATTTTCTTTATATTATACGAAGCTGATGCACCAGGTCTTGTAAAATTGTTTCTATTACTTTTCTTCGGAGCATTTTTATTCTAATATGTTTATCTGATGGCAATTATCAAGAAACGCATGTTGTTTTTTGCTAAAAGTGTTTTTTATTGAGTTTTATCTCTAATTTTCTTTATATTATACGAAGCTGATGCACCAGGTCTTGTAAAATTGTTTCTATTACTTTTCTTCGGAGCATTTTTATTCTAATATGTTTATCTGATGGCAATTATCAAGAAACGCATGTTGTTTTTTGCTAAAAGTGTTTTTATTGAGTTTTATCTCTAATTTTCTTTATATTATATGAAGCTGATGCACCAGGTCTTGTAAAATTGTTTCTGTTACTTTTCATCGGGGCATTTTTATTCTAATATGTTTATCTGATGGCAATTATCAAGAAACACGTGTCGTTTTTTGCTAAAAGTGTTTTTTATTGAGTTTTATCTCTAATTTTCTTTATATTATATGAAGCTGATGCACCAGGTCTTGTAAAATTGTTTCTGTTACTTTTCATCGGGGCATTTTTATTCTAATATGTTTATCTGATGGCAATTATCAAGAAACACGTGTCGTTTTTTGCTAAAAGTGTTTTTTATTGAGTTTTATCTCTAATTTTCTTTATATTATACGAAGCTGATGCACCAGGTCTTGTAAAATTGTTTCTGTTACTTTTCATCGGGGCATTTTTATTCTAATATGTTTATCTGATGGCAATTATCAAGAAACACGTGTCGTTTTTTGCTAAAAGTGTTTTTTATTGAGTTTTATTGCTAATTTTCTTTATAGTATACGAAGCTGATGCACCAGGTCTTTTAAAATTGTTTCGTTTAATTTTCTTCGGGGCATTTTTATTCTAATATATTTATCTGATGTTAAACTTCAATAACATTTTTTATTTACCATTTTTAAAACAGATTAAAAGTAATTCAGTTATTTAACTTAACTAAAAAATTAAAACTAAAAAAAAATACTAAACTAACATAAAAATACTACATTAATCTAAGAACTAAGAAATTTAAATTAGCCATCTTATGCTCAACACTATACTAGTGCGGAACTATGCTAGTTAAAATGCTTGCACTTATTTAAGGGACATACTGTATAACAATAGATAAAATTAACCGCAAAGGCCATATAATGAATCGTTTCATGCCAGCAAATAAAAATGAGATCGTTGAAAAAATAAATAGCGATCTTTATTATTTTGTAAAGCGCAACATTGTGAATGCACTCTATAAAATTAAAGAATAAACGTAGGTATCGCAATATCATTTAACCGTTTGCTTTGTGCAACCGCAATTATATAGTAGCATTGTTCTGAACTCCAACGGCCTGTGTAGGAATGTTTGTGTCTTTTAAAATATCGATATTCAAAAGAATATCTATAGAAAATATAAAAGTTAGACTAAACAAATCCTTAGTAGTACAAAACATTTTGGAAGAAGATGGGGTTTGCAACCGTATATTATTCACACTGGATGTACACTGATGTACAGTACGTCTTCTGGATCTGTGTCTATGAAAGGAATGCGGACAAAAAACATTTAAATAAACAGAAATATATTTTATACGTCGACTTGACGAGTACGCCACCGCTAATCGCTCCGCCCACTCATTTTATTGGCTACTTGCAAATTTGTCGAATTTTTATTGATGGGACGCGTCCTCTAATTTTTTACGAAAAACATCGAGAGAATATCGTTTCCCCTCTCACGGATACCCCGTAGCTACAGAACGTACAGACGTACAGTAGTTAAACCAATCATCATCTATGAAGCACTAGTATGGTGGGAAGCGGTACTCAACTTAGACTCATCAATAAATAATTAAAAAAAAAATATCGATGTTTTAATATATCGATATATTTGTACATCTCTAAGTCAGTGTGGGTTTTCCTCCTGGACAGACACCATCGATTTTATCCAAGCATTATCGATAATGGCATAATAAATCCACCAGATCATCCGCGAGCTCTTATAAATAGAATTTTCGTCCACAGCATTATCGCTTCATCGTCCCCCAGAGATACTCTTTTTATAACGTGGGTTTTTTGTAATTTATTAATTAAAATATAAATGTATACCGAGATGAATCGGCAAAAAACACGATTTTTTGAATTTATATATCCCTTTTCTTTTTTTAATCATATTTTTTTTAGATAACCGGACAACAAATACAATATTATTTATTCCTCTAGCGGATTATTAGATACCTCGATAAATTTATCCTAATTTATATCAATGTCACTGTCAAAAAAAAATACAATTTTCATCACTCAAAACCGTCAAATTTTTTAAAGTTGTTCTTCAATGCAGAGCAGCTCACACGGAGGTCCAAGTAATGGCGACCTCAACTCACCCGACAGAAAACGAAAATGTTCCGTGGCTCCGAACTGTGGCTATCTAGAGATAAACAGTAACGAAGGAAAGAACTGCCAACGAAGAACGTGCAACTATTTTTGGCTCACCCTAGAACCGAGAGATTATACAAGCGATTCAGTATCAAATTTAGTAAGATCCATGTTAAAAATGTTTTGCATACCATAGTGTTCTTCAACATTAACCCTAAGTCTTAGTTTTCTTGGTATTTTTTAGTTAAGCAACCTTTTTTGGTTTATTAGATTTGTAATAACTTTGGCCAGATGTTTAAGAATATCGATTTGTATTATTGGTTGTATCCATTTTGAAAAAATTGTCATTGATCCTCAATATAGGGTGGCCAAATCAATATAGGGTGGCCAATGACAATAATATTAATGAAAATATAATATATAATTAATGAAAATTACAGTGAGTTCTACAGGGGATCCCAAAAAAAGTTACACATCAAACTTGTGTTTTTTGTAATAGAAAATGTGTAATAGAAAATATGTAATAGAAAAATATAGGCGAGTTTCATTAGAGAAGTATATGGCCAAAGTGTAAGGATATAACATATGTTTTTTTAACGGCAACGCCCTATTTTTTATTTCATTTTTAGATTCTGCGTAAAATTCTATAACTTTTTTATATATAACGTTATATACCTAAAATTAATAGTTTTTGTAATATTTAAATTTGTTTATACAAATGTTAAATTGCAGTGTGGCAAAAAATTGTCAGTGGTACCATTGTTTCTGAAGTTGGAATACCAAAATATGGTATAAGAGTTCTATAGAGATTAAAAAGAAGATATAAGTTAAGATATTTTAGTTAAATGCTACAGGGTGTTTAAAATATATTTATAAATTTCAACTACTTAAAATTAAAAAATCTAAAATTTTTTAAATGGTGCACCCTATATATTTTGATTTTTTCTGATAGATTTTGCAAAGCTTTTATTAAACTTTTATTAAGTATGTCATATACCTATTTTTAATAATTTGCGATTTATTCCAATTTTTTCTATTTTTACCCATATCTTTAATACAATTACTCTATAACATCATAGTTACCATGACAAAAAAAAAATTATTATCAAAATTTCATATGTCTGTTAAGCAAGTTAAGAACAAAAAGTGAATTTTAGTTTAATTTGTATAAATGGTAGAGGTAGAGGTAATAGTTTCAGATTTTCCTAAAAATGGATTAGTCAATGTGACTGATATACACGAACAAGCCAAAATAAACATAGTTTTTGGTTCAGTACTATATATTATATAGTACTTTGCTAAGTACTATAAGAATATAGATGTAGATTATCTAGAAAACATTTTCATATTATATTATATTATAATATTTTCAGTGTGTAATGGGACGGTTTTGTGGCAGTAGTAATATTGGCTTTACGAAATGAATTATAAACCAGAATTACTACGAGAAAAAAAAAATTACTGTATGTCGGAGGAAATTTCAATATCAGTAGTCGTCAATAATTAGGTAATCTAGTTAGTATTACCAAGGGTATTACCCTAATCTGCGGCTATTCGGCCCGACGGAAAATCCAAATGTCATCTTTCATAATATAGAAATACACCAAGAAATTCACGACTACGATTTTAGTTTATTTGAGTAAAGTAAGTTAATTTTGACTAATATTAACAATTGTAACTAATTATTAAACTACTTGTTAAAAATAAGTAATAAATATGTTTGTTTTGTCATGGTAACTATGATGTTATAGCGTAATTATTGTATTAAAAATTAGTGTAAAAATAGAAAAAATTGGAATAAATCGCAAACTATTAAAAATAGCTATATGACATACTTAATAAAAGTTGAAGAGCTTTGCAAAATCTCTCAGAAAAAATGAAAATATATAGGGTGTACCATTTAAAAAATTTGAGATTTTTTAATTTTAATTAGTTGAAATTCATAAATATATTTTAAACACCCTGTACCATTTAACTAAAATATCTTAACATATATCTTCTTTTTAATCTCTATAGAACTTTCATACCAAATTTTAGTATTCCAACTTCAGAAACAATGGCACAACTGACAATTTTTTGCCACACTGCAATTTAACATTTGTATAAACAAATTTAAATATTACAAAAACCATTAATTTTAGGTATATAACATTATATATAAAAAAGTTATAGAATTTTACGCAGAATCTAAAAATTAAATAAAAAATAGGGTGTTGCATTTAAAAAAACATATGTTATATTCGCCACACATTTTTGAAGGACCCTGTATACTCTATAATAATTTTAAAATGTGTATCTTAATCTTCTCTATAACCTTTGTATTTAACATTTTTTGTAAACCTCGAAACAAATGAGATAATGGACTTTAATCTATCGTTGACTCACCCTGTAAAATAGTTATTTTAACTACATTGTTAAATAAGTCAAAAACCTTACATTTTAGCCATATACGTCACTAATGAAACTCACCTTTATTTTTCTTCTAGAATCCGAAAATCAATTAATTTATAGGGTATTCCATTACATAAAACACAACTTTGATATGTAACTTTTTTTGAGAACACCCTGTAGAACCCTCTATATTTTTAAAAAATGCTCTAAATCAACCTACATATGCTCACAAAATTTAATTTTAATACAAGCTGTAGTTGTCCTTGTAGCCTCCGCGCGTATGAGAGGCGCAACCCTGTACAAATTTTCTAATATACAGGGTGACAATTTGAAAACGAACAGTATTTAATATTACCTCTACCGATGATATAGTCTATAAAATGAATAACTTTGAATTTTGACCGTTATTTTTTACCAACATGGCAAATATAAAAGCCCTCTATCCAAAAAGTTACTGATATTCTTTAAAATGAGTGCCTGAACGAATCAGATAGGTAACTCTTTTTACTTTCGTGAAATAGAAAAGAAAAATTATAAAACAAGTAACAGTTCTTCCTCTTCTTGCAAAAATCAACGCGAAATGTCATAATTGACAAAAGTAAAATGTCATCAGCCTTTGACATTTCTAAATATCAAACCAATGCCGTCTCTAATAGACCAGCCTTGGAGCGAGATTTATGACGCCACGCTAGTTAGATACCACGGATTAATAAATATGTTGTAGAATACACGGAAAACATAATTATTCCTCGTATTTTTGGTTTGTATTTTAAAAATGATATAGTTCACATAATATACAGTTAATAAATACAATATATATACCTATTTATAGTAATAAATACTTTGGCAAATAAACTATGAACCATACAAATGCATCAAATGTTTTACAATATACAAATAATGAATAGGTACATAAGATAATGGGTAAAATGTAAAATATATTTTAAATTTTGGGGTTTGAAAATCGATCTAATTTAACAAAAAACATTCAATATCTACTAATAGTGATGTATTATTATTTGCATTCACAAAATTTATATGTATATTTTGCAAGCATCAATGTGCGAAAAATTATATTTGCAAATAATACAATATCATAGAAAAAAAGGCGTCAGCGATGGCTATGAAATGAAGATCGCTGTCATTTTATATGTAAAATTATTCTAAAATTTTTGATTTTTTGGGATTTAGGTTCGGGAAAAACGCTGATTAAGTTTACATTTGGTTTTTCATTATTTTTTTTTGGTTTAAAAAAAAACGTTACAGCTAACGTTTATAGCCTTCATTAGTGCTGTGTCATATGAAAAAAATGTCGAATGTAAATGTGTCGAATATAATCCAAAAAATTACATATACGAGGAATGTTTTCCATGTATTCTACAATATAATTAATCCGTAGTATCTAACTAGCGTGACGTCAGAAATCTCGCTCCGAGGCTGTTCTATTAGAGACGGCATTGCATCAGCATGGCCCGCAAGTTGCTAACCTAATAAAACTAACACTAGAAAAGCCCGCGGGAACTGTCAAATTCAAAGTTATTCGTTTTACAGACTATAGTATGAAAATTTGGCGAAATACGTCAATTTACATATCAAGGGGGACAATTTTTGAGGCATTTGTTGTCGTGTTACTTTCAACCCTTTTACCCCCAGGGCACCTACCCCTAAAATTTTAAATGGCAACCCCTATTTCTTTTACCATTTTTGTGTTCCTTATAAAATTCTCAAAAAAATAATGCAGTTTATGTAGAATTCTTTTTTATGTAGAAGAAACACAAAAATGGTAAAATAAATAGGGGTTGCTATTTAAAATTTTAGGGGTAGTCCCTGGAGGTCAAGGGGTTGAAAGTAACACGACAACAAAGGCCTCAAAAATTGTCCCCCTTGATATGTAAATGAACGTGTTTCTCCAAATTTTCATATTATCATCGGTAGAGGTAATATTAAATACTGTTCGTTTTCAAATTGTCACCTTGCATACTTGTGTTGCTAAAATAAAATAAATCTTATAATACCATTTTTTTCTGATAAAGACAAACTCTATTGTGGAATGTTGCACGGAATTTGATGACGAAGAAGGTGTAGAATCCAATAATAAAAACGAGTTAGTTGTTTCTGTCCCAAACTTCTAAATTTTCCATTGTGTTGTTATTATTTTTGCTTTTAGTACGCCTGGCACACCTAGGAATTCCCAAGTTTCAGATGGATCAAAGTCTGGGTCAAACGAGTGAGTTTAACAAAGAAAAAATTAGTAAAAATTCTTTTGCTTCAGAGTATTTAAAAATATTTGTTAAATCGGTATACGTTGGTACACTCATGAGGAAAACTGTGATTTCAGACTTACATTTTCTTTATTAAATTTTGTATTATTTTTTTTTGGTAGATATGATCGGACACCTCGAAGTTCTGATGCTTTAGAAGATCACAAAAGTGGATTAGCGGTAAACTACAGGTCAGTATTAATAACTATAAAGAATCTTATTTAAATATTTGTTTAATTCTACAGGGTGGTCCGATTTTGTAATGATTTTTACCAAGAGACCTTCTTAACGTAAAAAACATCGTAAATGTATAATTATTTGGAAAAAATCGAAATAAAAATAAAACTTCTACACTCTGTATTTCCAAAACTAAGCATTTTAAGACATACAGTTATACGAACTATTTTACTTACTTTTATCTGCCGAATATACTGTCGAAGTTTCCGGAATACAGTTCGGGCCACCCTGTATACAGGGTTGTTCACCACATACGACACGGAGTATTGTAGCTAAACGATTAGATTTTTACAAATTGTAAGTTTTGGGTTCGTTGCAGGACTATTAGAGCTACAATTTAAAAATATTTTTACAAGATAGAGAGTGTCCCAAATAAATAAAAAATATCAAAGTTGTATTTTTTTAAATGGAACACCCTGTATATTATTACATTTTTAGTTTCTACGATCAAAATAAAGGTAAATTTGATTAAGGTTTATCACACTTAAACCTGACCGTTTTTGAAATATTTTCAATTTTGTGAAATTGCAGTCAAAATTTTAAGGCTTCATTTCTCCAAGGGTGTCAAAGTTTTTAATACTAAATATTTACTGAAGTTTATTTATTGATCAGTTATTAGGTTGCAATAATAAAAATAATACTACCTCATACAGAGTGTCTAAAAATTTATTTTAAATTATTTCTAGCTCTAAACGGCAATAACTTGTATATTTTAGGAGAATCAGATGAACCCTGTATATTTTAGGAGAATCAGATGCACAATTTAATTGTCTAGCAAATTGTATTATACCATTTTTTACCTATCCCTTCAAGTTTTCGTATAAAATGCATTTTCTTATAATTTAGACCTCATTTATCAATATACCCATGGAATATTGACATTTTAGATTGTTTTTAAAACAACAAAGGTACAAAATGTACAGGCTAGTAATATTATCGTTTTTGACAGTTCCCGCGGGCTTTTCTAGTGTTAATTTTATTAGGTTAGCAACTTGCGGCCACGCTGACGCAATGCCGTCTCTAATAGAACAGCCGCAGAGCGAGATTTATGACGTCACGCTAGTTAGATACTACGGATTAATAAATATGTTGTAGAATACATGGAAAACATAATTATTCCTTGTATTATTGGTTTGTATTTTAAAAATGAAATAGTTTACATGAAATATATATAATATAGAGTTAATAAATACAATATATATACCTATTTATAGTAATAAATACTTTGGCAAATAAACTATGAACCATACAAATGCAGCAAATGTTTTAAAATATGGCTGAAATCGTACTCCATAGTCAGTGTGGAAAGTTTTTGTGTTAAAAATAATAATTTAAAAAAATATGTGGTCATCTTTTGACAAGTTTATATTAGTTTATTAATTGCAGTAAACATTATAATATATAAATAAATGTTGTGAATGCAAATAATAATACATCACTATTAGTAGATATTGAATGTTTTTTGTTAAATTAGATCGATTTTCAAACCCCAAAATTTAAAATATATTTTACATGTTACGCATTATCTTATGTACCACATTATTTGTATATTGTAAAACATTTGCTGCATTTGTATGGTTCATAGTTTATTTGCCAAAGTATTTATTACTATAAATAGGTATATATTATCTTCTTAATCTAAGTATATTATATTGTATTTATTAACTGTATATTTCATGTAAACTATATCATTTTTAAAATACAAACCAAAAATACGAGGAATAATTATGTTTTCCATGTATTCTACAACATATTTATTAATCCGTAGTATCTAACTTGCGTGACGTCATAAATCTCGCTCCGTGGCTGTTCTATTAGAGACGGCATTGGTCTAATATTTAGAAGTGTCAAAAGCTGATGACATTTTACTTTTGTCAATTATGACATTTCGTGTTGATTTTTGCAAGAAGAGGAAGAACTGTCACTTGTTTTGTTATTTTCCTTTTCTATTTCATGAAAGTAAAAAGAGTTACCTATCTGATTCGTTCAGGGACTCAATTTAAAGAATATCAGTAACTTTTTTGACAGAGGGATTTTATATTTGACATGTTGGTAAAAAATAACGGTCAAAATTCAAAGTTATTCATTTTATAGACTATACTAATTAATTACATACTTAATTATATTTGTTAATAAATTATTCTAAATAAATGTGGATTTGAATCAGAAATCAATATAATAATAAGTTATGAAAATAAATGTCTCTGTTATAAATAAGCATTTGTCAAAAAATGAAATATCATTTTTAAGGTGTTTATTTTTTACCACACTGTTTAATACACATACAAAATTCAGTTCTTTAGTATTTGGAGTAATTATTTTTAATCAACGCAAACAGTCAATTAATGTAGTTTGAATACTGGAATCATATTAATTGGTCCTCTTTAACAAATATTTAAACAGTTTCTTTTTAATTTTTAATGAAATAAACAAACTATATCGACAATATTAGTATCTGTACTCTTTAAAAATTTGGTACATCTTTAAAAATAATCTAAAATGTCAGTATTCCATGGGTATATTGATAAATGAGTTTTAAATTACAAGAAAATGCATTTTCTACGGAAACTTGAAGAGATAGGTAAAAAATGGTATAATACAATTTGATAGACAATTAAATTGTGCATCTGATTCTCATAAAATATACAGGGTGTTCCATTTAAATTGAACAAGTTATTGCCGTTTAAAGATATTAATTATCTAAAATAAAATTTTGGACACTCTGTATAATAGTATAATTTTTATTATTGCAGCACAATAACTGATCGATAAATAAACTTCAGTAAATATTTAGTATTAAAAACTTTGATACCCTGGGAGAAACAAAGGCTTAAAATTTTGTTTGCAATTTCACAAAATTGAAAATATTTCAAAAACGGTCAGGTTTAAGTGTGATAAACCTTTATCAAACTTACCTTTATTTTAATCGTAGAAACTATAAATGTAATAATATACAGGGTGTTCCATTTAAAAAAATACAACTTTGATATTTTTTATTTATTTGGGACACTCTGTACCTTGTAAAAATATTTTTAAATTGTAGCTCTAATAGTCCTTCAACGATCCCAAAACTTACAATTTGTAAAAATCTAATCGTTTAGCTACAATACTCCGTGTCGTATGTTGTGAACAACCCTGTATACCCTCAAAGTAAATTATACAGGGAGAGTCCTCAATAAGTGCAAATATTTTAGGGGCACCATATTTCAACCCCAGAAACACGTGTTTTTTCTTGAAAAATAATTTTTAAAAATTGAATTTTTTCAAGAAAATCTTTGGAAATGTTTTTAATTTTTAGTTTTTTCACTTAATAATTTGCACTTATTTAAGACTCACCCTGTACATACAATATTATTTTGCACAGTTCTTCGAACAAAGTAACTGTAACAATAAAAGGTACGGAGCGTGATGCTGATGATGATGATATGGAACGCGAATTAACAAAAGCAAACCATCAAAGCTTATCAGGTTTGTTAATATACGTAAAAGACTTGATTGTGCTAGCCAAAATAATTTTATTCTGTTGCAGAACAACAACTGTCCAAGAGTTTTTCTCAATTTTTGGAAGAATACACACCGAAAGGTATTGCTGATATTTTTACTGAGTATACAAAAATGTATTAATAAAAATACCTACGTGTTTCTAGATGCAGCAAAACCGCCAGAAAATGCACCTTCAAAGGAATACACACCAAAAGGCATTACTGACATTTTTACTGAATACAAAAATGTTTTAATAAAAATACATATTTCTAGTTGCAGCAAAACCGCCAGAAAATGCACCTTCAAAGGAATACACACCAAAAGGTATTATTACTGACATTTTTACTGAATACAATAATGTTTTAATTAAAATACATATTTCTATTTGCAGGAAAATCGCTAGAAAATGCTCCTTCAAAGGAATACACACCAAAAGGTATTATTACTGACATTTTTACTGAATACAATAATGTTTTAATAAAAATACATATTTCTATTTTCAGCAAAATCGCTAGAAAATGCACCTTCAAAGGAATACACACCAAAAGGTATTACTGTCATTTTTACTGAATACAGAAATGTTTTAATGAAAATACATATTTCTATTTTCAGCAAAATCGCTAGAAAATGCCCCTTCAAAGGAATACACACCAAAAGGTATTACTGACATTTTTACTGAATTCAAAAAATGTGTTATTACCCTAGATCATATATACTTTCGTGGATAAGTAAATCACTATGGAAACTGTCGCAAACATATCAACGACTTCCATTTATCTTCTTTTTTTGTTGCACACGAGGTGGTTCTGCTCTTTCTATCCTTGTCGAGGACCTATCGTCCGCGCGCCAAATTTGAACATTAATTTTAAAAATTTCATTTGTAAAATGTTATATTTGAACAATAAATTGAATATTTACTGTCACAAAAATTAAATTATATAAAAAATACTTTTAGCCACTCTGTACGAATATCAATATTATTATAAAATCTAACCAGAAAGTATGCATGTAGCTTAATATAAATAAAAGAACAACTGAATACTTTACTTGCCTATGAAAAGATAATTCGGGGACCTTTATATTAGAACTTTCACACACTAAACACTTTCTAGTCATTTTTACGAGTATTTAGAATGTCCAACGAAAAAAAATTACGCACACACTTAAAATTAACTTCTCGCTGAACAAACTTGCATCCTTGGCTATATAAAAGCGGTCGCTAAAAGAGTAACTAATACAATTTTTAAAATAAAAAACGCAAAAAACAAGCGTCGTCACACAATGGAAATAAGATTATGACATATGATTATGACAATATGATGACAAATGAAAAGTTGGTTTCCATAACAATGTATAATCTGTACTTTCTAAGTACTTTCTAAACCTATAAAATTGTGATAATTTTGGAAATACGTGCAACTTTTAATGCGCATGCGCAAAGTAAGATCCTCGAAAAAGACAAAACTATTGAGCGTTTCATAAGTGCAATAAAGAAGGTTTGAAAATGGCATGTCGTGATGTTGGAGACATATTTTTTAATGCTAAACTTATGGCGTTGATTTATCCACGTAAGTACCGTATGATCGAAAAAAAAAACAGATTCCCAACCGTCCTCTATTACAGAAACAGTCATCTTTTTGATCTGATTGTCCTCTTTTCTCTCACGTATTGAAAACTTTGTTGCATACCAACTTCAAAATCTAAAAAATATTCGTTTATCGTCACAATGCTTTAAAGACTTGTTAATCTGTGTCTTTTATGTAATTTTATGTTTACTTACTGTTAGTTTATGTCTTGAAAAAAAGTTTTGAGTATAAATATTTTTGTTTGTTTTAAATATTTATCGCATACCGTTTATATAATAGTACCGTATGATCGAAAAAAAAACAGCGTCCAGTTGGCTGGGAAATGAACATCGATGACATTTCCCATTTAAATTTACATATAAAATGACAGCGATCGTCATTCCATAGCCATCGCCGACGCCTTTTTTTCTCGATCATACGGTATATATGATCTAGGATGCCAAAGCTATTACCTAACACCCATCATCTCTGTCGTCTGAATTCCCTCTCCCTAGTTTCAGAGTAATATTTAAAAATCAACGATTATTTATGTATACAGAGTGTCTAAAAAACTAAATGTTTTGAATTTAAAGAAATATGTTTATTTTTAAATAGGCGAATCATCTAGATACATACCTCTAGTTGCATCAAATCCGACAGAAGATGCACGTCCAATCAAGAGACCGCAATGTTGCCAGGGAATCGAATCAACTGCAGAACTTTCGGAAAGTCTTATCAGTACCCACAGCAAAACCCAATCGATAATCAAACAAGAACCGTCAAAGCACGAAGTCAAACCGAAAATATGCGTGGCTGAAACTTGTCCCAAACTCAACGTCGGTTTCAAGAGTACGAAAACGTGTTGCCGTACGGCAAAATGTCCGCTCAACGACATGGATTCGAGCACGTACAAGTTCATAACCGATGTGAGAATGTGTTGCAGAAAGAAGGCTTGCGAGCTGGCAGCTAGAATTTGCGACATATACGAACCTTTGGTTAAAGTGGAAGTTACAAAATCAACTGATACTGGAGATAGCGAGTATGTAAAAATTGATATTAGTCCTTTCTTCGTAGATCGTATATACTTTCCGAAAGCTCTTTGATATATTTTTTACTATGCTCTCTGGAACAGCATGCGGCCCGTCTGGCTGCCGATACCCGTTGCGTTTACTACTGCGCATCGGAAGAAGATCCTATATTTTTTATTACTTTCGTCCTATAAATTCTAGTATTGAATATAAACCGAACATGTCTCCATAGCGCAGTGCGTAGAGTTTCCGACCACGAACCGATGATTCAGAGTTCGAATCCGGGTCAGGTCAAAAACTTTTTAATTTTGTTTTCGTTTACATATTCTGATAGTAGAGTGTTAAATAATTCTGGTAATTTAAAAAAAAACAAATATTCAAAAACAGAATATTTAACCGCTTACGTTAACTTTTCTTGCCATTTTTTTAATTTTTTTTTTGCAGAAAATTTTTCTGAAGTTCCCCGAAAACAATTCGGACCATCCTGTATAAAGTTTTTTTGAATGTATTTTTTTTCCTTAAAGCTACCATTATTGGGGTAAAGACAACTTTACTTACGCTCTAAAGCAGGAGGAACCAACCAATCATCAACCGCCTAATACAGATTTCAAAAAAGAAGAACAATTTATCAAGTCCGAAGATTATTTGCCTGCAAGCAGCTCTAACGCGATAGCAAAACCGAAAAGTAGTATTATACTAGAAGAACTCTTTACGTCTAAAAATGAAGAAGTCAGTTTTTATTATAGTGCTCGGTCAATAAACCATACAATCGAAAAAAAAACGGCGTCAAAGACGGCTGAGGAATGACAATCAATTATAATTTTGACGAGGTCAAGCTCTAAAGATGTAATTTACTTGGCCTGTACTTTTCTTTATTTCATAATGGCGCGTACTGCAATTCTACATTCTACAAAATTGATTTGAATCAGTGTTAATTTTGACAAGTTTTATGTCAATTTTTAGTAAATAATCCTCTAGAGATTGTTCTTGACAAAATTATCATCGATTGTCATTTCCCCAGGCGTCTTTGACACCGTTTTTTTTCAATCACACGGTATATGCTTTATGACAAAACATTCCGAACAAAAATCATTTTAGTTGTGTTGACACACCCTGTGATGACTTTTTAAATTGTTTTTTTGATTTTGGTGACACTATAATGAACACACCTCAAGAGATTTATAAATCATATTTTCTCTTAAAAATCATCTATTGACTCAAATAACACCGTATGATCGAAAAAAATTCGGCATCCAGTTGGCTGAAAAATGACGATCGATGTCATTTTCCATATAAATTTACATATAAAATGAGAGCAATCTTCATTTCATAGCCATCGCTGACGCGGTTTTTTTTGGTCATACGGTATTTTGTTACATATATGAAATCATGCCCTAATAAACGCACCGGTATAAAATATAATATTTTATACCGGTGCACACAGAGTGTTTTTTGAGGAGTAAAATTCAAAGTAATATACCTAGACACATGCCAGCGCGCTTCTTTAAAGTTCCATCAAAATCGGAATAATTTAAATAAGTTATACTGGGTATTTTTTAAAAGTGGTTCACCCCTACAACTTTTTTATTTTTTCAGAGTAAAAAACGATATTCGAAGAGTATATAAAGCTGCGTCGACATATAAATATGTCGAGACGAGTGCGAGAGACACCCGAAACGAGTCAACCTCAAGCTGATTTGCGGTTGACTCGTCATATTTGGACGGGGTCTGAGCTTCGAGCCGAGCCTATGCCCAGCCGGACGGCGTTGTCTCCGTTTTTTCAAAACCATCAAAAGGATTGGGGCGTCTATTTAACCAGTGGCGTATACACCGCGGCTCCGCGGAACAAGTGCCTCGAGTCTCAAGGGGCTCGGATTCCACATCCCATTTTTACATAAAAATAAAAATTCTTTCCTTTATTTGTAATAATGTTAATAATGCATCCTAACTAGAAAGATGCAATTTTGTCTTCTCTAAAATAGTATAGGTAAGTTAGCCAAAGTAGGTAAATCTCATACACAAAGATTTATTAGTGATCTCTTTTATAAAACCATGAAAATTTTATGAAAAATGAATAAACGTAATGAACTTTTCGTCGAGTTATTAACGGCTCAAACGTAAATTATGCGCTATTTCTGCTGAACGGAATTAAAAAGATGTAAAACAATATTGTTTACATATAGGATACATAGAAGATAAGAGAGGCAAATCGAGTGTGTTGAAAAAGGTGGCCATGCTATCAGAAGTTCGTTACGGTAGGTACTCTCATAAATAAAGGGAATCGACAAAGAAAGGAACGATCCGATATAGAAAAATCCAGAAATTTGAACTATCCAGACTACTAAGAAACTTAATTTATGGCAAATATGAAAATAATAAAGTTCCAGGTTAGTTATTGGCATTTAAATGTAGATTTAAATTAATAATTTAAATCTTAATTACTTAAATTTCTAATTTTTTAAATAAATAAAGTCGAATTAGATCTTATCTTACAGCGCTTTCAGATGGAACGGAGCGTCCGAGACGGACCGTCCGCGACTTCGAGCAAGTACCATGAGCTTATATGAACAATTTCACCTGGGTCGCGTATGCTCCGTCCTGATGAGCTATCTTGAAAAAACATCCGTGCGGACGCTCTGCGCGTACGGTCCGCTCCATCTGAAAGCGCTGTTACTCTATTTAAAAAATTTATAGATATACAAACCACATACAAAATATATTATTGAATAAAATAATTAAAGACTCAAAAAAACGGCGCTCGCAGAAGGCTCCGCCGCCGCCGCTGCCGTGCCGTTAACTCCAGGTATCTCAGTCGGCGTTCTCCAGTTTTTTTTAATGTAAACAGTCGGAATATAATTTAAATTTATCATGAATTCCTTTAATTTATCTAGCTTCTTTTTTTACCTATTTTGAAATTAAACAAACATATACAGGGTGTTTCAAAAAACATGTTCCATCTCTCGTGGGGAAGTTCCTCACGTAAAAATAAGATTTATTTTTTATATCAACCAATCCAATTCTGCTTTGATTCGTAGCTACAGGGGGTTAAAATAGGGTTCCCAACCGTCCTCTATTCCAGAAACAGTCCTCTTTTTGATCTGATTGTCCTCTTTTCTCTCACGTATTGAAAACTTTGTTACATACTAACTTCAAAATCTAAAAAATATTCGTTTATCGCCACAATGCTTTAAAGAATTGTTAATCTGTGTCTTTTATGTAATTTTATGTTTACTTACTGTTAGTTTATGTCTTGAAAAAAAGTTTGTTGACAATGGTTTGCTTTATTTTAATAAGTTTTGAGTATAAATATTTTTGTGTATTTTAAATATTTATCGCATACCGTTTATATAACTTTTTGGTAAATTCTCGACATTTGAGCGACGTTTCAAAAATGTTTCGCCTGTGCCTTTTTTTATCCTCTCGCCCCTATTTTTTATTTTCAAAGTTGCCAACCCTAGGTTAAGTGTTTTATCATTTTCTTCCAAGTGCTTTTAGTAATTTGAGATCGTTTGATGACTGATTTAGTTCTGATCCGGGTAGTTTTTTGTATAAAACAGTGCCACCATCGTCGATTTTTTTCGTTAAATGCGAATAAGAAAATATCCTGATTATATTCTGGCCCTATCCCTTATTATTTTTATTTACAAGCGATCTTAAGTTTATAACATATACATATATTTTATTTAATTGTTAACATTAGGGTAGTTTTACCAATTGTGTATGTGTGGAATTCCACTGATATGTGTTTTAAGTTGTTTGTTAAATTTTTAAAATTTTTTGATTGTATTTTGCTCTCTTAACTTTGTAGTGTCCTGAAGATGCAAATAAATTTTGCGAAACGTCGACAAATTTAAAACAAAGGACTTCTGTTGATTTTTTTCGATCCTAATCCAATTAAAAAACACATTATACTTAAATTTATTAATTAATTTTTTAAAATATTGAATGGTATCGAATAATACTTTAATATATTTATCAATATTTTAAAGTATCGATACTTTATATTCAATACAACCGATACCAAAATATCGATACTGCCTCAGTATCGCACAGCCCTATGAAGAATTTTGTGGGTTCGCCAAAGGCTCCACTGAAAATGGATAGCCGCGAGACAACGCCGTTCGACTGGGCAGGGACTCTGCTCGAGGCTAAAGCGCTCGGCTCGAGGCTATAATATGACGAATTCCGCTTGAGGTTGACTCGTCTCGTCCTCGTCTCGGCATATTAGTACGCCTTTTGGAAAGAATTTGCTATAGCCTCGTTTCATACTCGTTTCGGGTTTGTCTCGTACTTGCCTCGGCATATTTATACGCGGCTTAACATAAATTAGGATTGATTGAGGTACTCAATTTTTCGGTCACTTCATATTTTTCGGAAATTACTACAACTTTTTATTTTTAAATGACATCCTCGGTATTTTTTTACTTTATTTGACAGAAAATTAAAAAAGACATATTGGTGAGCCACTTTTAAAGAATACCCTGTATGACTCAAATTTATTTTTGGAAAGTGTCTGTAAAGTTTCACCTCTTCCAGGAAGATGATATGAAAGATTCAGTTTATACAGAACCAGAACGGCGCGAAAAACGTACCAGTGTCGTTAGTTGGAGTTTCCCAAAAGGACACTCTTCAAATTCAGTGCTGAAAGCAACTACAAGCGAAGAACAGGTAAGTAATTTACATTTCCTTCTCTTTTTTAAATTCCATCATTTTTAAATTTGATGCTATTAAAAACGCGTGAAATTCTCCTTTCTACACTCACAGACGCACGGTGGGGTATTAGCATGAAAAAGGTGATCGAAATTCGAAAAAGCAAATGTGTTTAAGATTTCCCAAAAAAAGATAAATGATAAGTTAAATCATGTCTGCAATGAATGGCGTTGCTATGGCTGTGTTTAGTTGCATTCATTTGTTTCAACGAAAGGTCAAAGTCGTTACTTCTCACAGATAAGAGGAAAATGGCTAAATTTTATGTCTAAAATTATAAATTGTTTTTGTTCTTGTGCTCTTTTTACGTTTATATTATTGTTTTGATTGAAAATGGCTCAGCAAGCTGCAGGTATCTATTCTACAAAAACGTATTATTAATTTTGATATTCTCTATACTAACGATTTTTTTTGCAACTAAAAGTTATTAACAACTAAAACTTACAAAAAACTGTTAGCGCCATCTTTAAAACCGAATATTTCCAACAAAAATTAAGCTAATGAGATGAACCAAAAAACAAACCATCGAGAAAGGATGTATCTAGATGATAAAATTATTTTTAAATTTCTTGCTGTTTTAACATATTTCACAGGGTGTTACAAACTTTCACCCAAATATCAACATTTTGTTTTCCCTCGTATAGTTAACAGATGGCGAGTGTCATTTTTAATTTAGAAAAAGATACTCAAAAGTCAAATAATTTGGCAACACACTGCTTAAAAAATCATCAAAATCGGCCCATTAAAATAAAATATATTAACCTTTAAATGCATCAAAGTTTTAAGGTGCTCATTTTTCGTACCGGTGAATGTATTTAAAAAACTATACATTTTAGTCATATACTTTTCTAAACCTTTATTTTTTTACTAGAATCCAAAAATTAATTAATATATAGGGCGTTCCATTACAAAAAACAAATAAATAAATAAATAAATAAATGCCTTTATTGTCAAAAAATTTTTCAATTTGTGGACAAAGGTAAACTAACAAACAAAGTAAAAAATAACAAGGTACACAAACAAACAAACAAAAGATAATACAAAACATTATACAAATAATATTGTCAGTCTTATTGTTAAAATAAACATATATAAATGTTTACAATGTCAAAGAACAAAAAATTAAAATAATATTCAAAAATATTTAGCCAGTTTATAGCAAAATATCAATGACCTCTAAATAAATTAATTTCGATGTCATTAGTAAATATAGCAATAGCAAACATTAGACCAGTGTTTTCAAGATCAAATTCGATTTTCAATTCAAATATAATTCATTTACGGCGTAGAAAGCCTTGTCTAGTAAATAAGAGTTCAATGCTTTGCGAAATGAAAAAATGATGTTATGGATTTGATTTCAAATGGCAGGTGATTGTGCATTTTTTCGAGTTGTATAATATTGAACTTTTAACTAACTCTGAGCGTGGGGTAGGTAGATAAAGATCTTGCTCCGCGTTCCTGAGTGGATAAGTGTGAGATGGCCTTTCTTGAGAAGCTGATACATGTTTACGTATTAGGCAAACGGATTCAAATATAAATAAGGAAGGAAGAGTCAATATTTTTAATTCTCTAAAAAAGCCCCGGCAATGAGTTCTGCTGTTCAGTCCCAGTGAATATCGAACAGCTCTCTTCTGGAGCTTGAAAATGCGGTCAAATTGAGCCGCACAACACGTACCCCAGAATGGAAGGGCATACCTGAGGTGCGACTCAAAAAGTGCATAATAAACAGTTCTAGCCACTGACAAGTTAAGCTCCTTAGAAACAGACCTTAATGCAAAACAGGCAGAGCTCAATTTTTTCGACAAAGCTTCGATATGTATGTCCCATTTCAGAGAATTGTCCACAACAAGCCCTAAGAATTTTACGGATTTTACGACGTCAATGGTGGTGTTGGCAAGTACAAAAGGCTGCAACGAGTTTTTATACGACAAAGCCTTAGTTTTAGAAATGTTGAGACTCAGGAGGTTCGAATCGCACCAAGATTTAATGGTGATTAAGTCATTTGATATAATCCTATGAAGTGCCGCGATGTCCTTGTTGCTCCAAGTGAAGCTAGTGTCGTCCGCAAAAAGACATATTTTGCCACTGATGTTTATGTTAGCAATGTCGTTAATAAAAAGAAGAAACAAAATAGGGCCTAGTACTGAGCCTTGTGGTACTCCACATTCTATTGGCTTGCTAGAAGACAACGTGGTATCCACCCTCACAAGTTGACTTCTGTTGCTCAGATACGACTTAAACCATTCGAGAGATGATCCCCTGAACCCATAGTGCTGCAGTTTATTAATTAGGATCTCATGATTTACACAATCGAACGCCTTAGAAAAATCACAGAAAATTGTTGCTGTAGAATGATGGTTGTTTAGGCTGGAGTAAACTTTATTAAGGAGGGAAAACATAGCGTCATTTGTGGACTTGTTGCTTAGAAATCCAAATTGATATTCAGTAAGTATTTTGTACTTAAACAGAAAAGATACCAGCCTGCTTTTAACCAACCTTTCTATGATCTTAGATAGCGTTGGAAGGAGTGCAATTGGGCGATAGTTAGAAGCTTCATCTTTGTCTCCTCCTTTGTGCAGTGGAATGATTATTGCCGTCTTAAGACATTTTGGAAAAATACCATTTTGGAACGACATGTTTATTAAAGTTGTTAGGTGATTCAGAGTGCTTTCTGGCAGATTCGAAAACATTTTTAAAGTTAGCCCGTCGGTCCCAGAAGAGGATTTATTTTGATGGTATTAATTGTACTGCGAAGCTCTTCAAAGAACTACGGGCGAAAAAAAGAAACTGTGTAAGTTTACATTATCATTAGAGAGATAAGAAAGTGGATCATGAGGAGGACATATGGTATTAGTTAAGTTTTCGCTACATTTACAAAGTAATCGTTAAGGTTCTCAGGCGAGGTAGAGATATTGCTAGACGAAGAAGCTTTGTTTCTCAACTCATTCACAATAGACCATGTTTCCTTAGCAACATTACCAGAATTGACTATTCTCCTATTATAATAAAGGTCCTTAGCGGCTCTTATAGCCTTATGATAAATTTTTCTGTATAGTTTTACGTAATTGTGGAAGAAGAGACTGTCTGAGAATTTTTTAAGTGAGATAATGAACGCATGTTTTAGAAGATATGCGTAGACCTTTAGTGGTCCAAGGTTTATTATGCTTATTTTTATAGGCCTAAGAGGAAAGGATTTGAACGCTAGACTGGTTAATGTTTTTACGAAAATAGAAAATTCGGTGTCGACATCATAAGAGCTAGTATCCCAGTTGGTTGTTTTACATAAGTGACCGAACTTTTGAGCATTCTTTTCTGAAAAAATACGGCATAATTTACGAGGGGCATTTTTTGATTTTGGACTTTATCGAAAATTCAGTTAAAACTGCTTCATGATCAGAGAGACCCGAGCTAAAGACGTTGCAGGCGATGGAGTTAGGATCAAAAGATGACACAACATAGTCTATAGTACTAGAACTGGTATTGGATATTCTGGTAGGTGAGCCTACATGCATGACCATTCCAAAAGAATCAAAAATGGACTGAAGAAACTCCTGAGCAGCACATACACTAAGAAAGTCAATATTAAGATCACCACACAAAATTAATTTGCTTTTCAAGGGCAGGGACTCAAGCAATCTTAGTAGATTATGACAGAATAATTGCACGTCAGAGTCAGGTGTTCTATAAATACAAATAATGTAAAGGTCATAAGCATTATGGTGGACAATGGAAAATTCGAATACTTTTTCAGATAACAAATCATTGTACCTAGTTACCTCGGAAAAGTCGTTGTTTAAAGACATTATCATAGTACCTCCATGAGAAAAAATTTGTTCTATCAAATCTGGCTACTGTGGTATAATTTTTTAATAAACACAGGCTCATCAAAATTCAACCAGTGCTCAGTTATGGCAATGATATCAGGAAATTCAAGTTCTTCTAGTAAAAGATATAATTCATCTGTTTTATGTCTTAAGGACTGAATATTAATAAGGAATAGACCAAGCTTGCTATCGCTTAATTCTTCAGAGGGTGCTTGATCCTCTGTTCGCGTCAATTCAACTAAAAATTTTACTCTTATTTGGGGAACCACTGGAATAATATTTGCCATGACTTTCCCTAATTTTTTTGAAGTCGTAGAAGGCTCTCCGCAGAAAAGAATGACCTGAAAGCTGAAAGATCTGCATCAACTTCAGTTGAACCAATACCATAGGCGTTGTGGAAGCGGTAGTACAACTTACGCAAGGACTCCAGGTCACTAGGTAGCCCTTCTGATGCAAGCATCAATTTGATGCTGGTACTAGTGTGTCCTTCAAAACACACACTGGATGGTTGGTCGTGAAGATACAGAAAACAAAACTTTGATATGTAACTTTTTTTGGGGACAACCTGTAGAACTCTACATAATTTTAGAAAATGCTTTAAATTGACTTACATAAGCTCACAAAATTTCACTTCAAGTTCTCCTTGCAAAAACCACGTCGTGTATGACGCGCCACCCTGTATAATTCGATTTCAATCAAAATTTCAATTTTCAAAAATTTAGTTAGAAAAAGAATTAAAAAAATCAAAATATTAAGAAAGAAATAATTAAGAATTTAATAAAATTACTAAAATAAAAAAATTAAAAGCAACGAAAAAAAATGGGTAAACATTTTAGTATTTTATCTATAAAACATAATACAGAAGGTTTCACATTAATTGAATTCCGAGGTAAAAGTCTCTAGGCACTCCACTATAATACATATTTTATAAAGCTATTACATGGATTGCACTGACATCTTTGAATCAAATACCGAGCTGACTAAACAAAGAGCGACATCTGTCCCTTTTGTGCTCATTCAAAAACCAGATCGATTGATTTAAACCGGAACTCTAAATAGTATTGATTGATTTAAACTTATTAATTTATTATTAAAGAAGAAATCTTGGCGGAGGATAATCAAATTCCAAAATGACACGAACGCAAATTTTGAAGAATAATTAGTGGAAAAGTTAAATGTTTGTTAACTTTTTTTTACTAATTGAAAATTACTACTAATATTAAACTTTTTTTTGAACATTCAAACTAATTGAAACCACTAATGTATTCCACTAATTTTGAGTTTCTGAGTCAAGCTTAAGAGATACAAAGGAAATAAAGTTTGGGACATCTTTGAAAATTGGACTAGTTAAACATAGAAACTCATTAAAATAAATTAATGTAATATTAGTTCGTTATAATAATTATTAATTTTAGTTAGTTGCAAGAGCTACAGAAGCGGCCAATATGTTTAGACAGGCTCAACAACCGGCACAAGGCAGTATAGACGAGTATCGCGAGAAACCAATTCTGTTCCTGGAAAAAAATAAACAAGTGCAAGCCTATTCGGATAATTCCAGGGATTTGGCGTTTAAATCTCAACTGGACTCCATACAATCGAACAGCGACTATCAGACCAAATGGTAAGCTTATCCTGTTTTTTAGCACGTTTTTATTAGATTGATTTTTTTACAGTTGCTCCTCTTTGAGAAACAAACTTAAAAGGAAGAAGAAACGACCAAAGTCCAGTCCAAGTCTACATTGGGCCTACAACAATGAAACCGAGCGAAGAAGACCGAACATCGAAGATCCCGTTGAAGAACAACAAATGGCATTGAACGATATATTAAATAAAGTTTAAAAATCAATAAATATGGTATTCTGATCATTGTGTTTGATTTTAGTACACCTCTCTTAAAATTTGAATATCTGGTTGCATAATGTTCCAGAAATTATCACTACAATGTTTTTGTTTTTTTATATCTCTTATTAAAGAATGTCTGATAATTAATATTATATTAATATAAGAATTAATAATAATTCTCCTAAATTCGATCAAATTAAAATTATGGTATGAAAGTTTTCATAATCTAAAAGTACATGAACGCCATTTTCTTTATTAATGAAATCAATTAAAATATGTAATTATATCGATGTTTTATACCGTATGCAACTAGATATACAGAATTTTTCAATAAATCGACACTAATTTTGCTTCTGCCATCTAGTAAACAGCCCTCGTACCAAAAATTATGTGTAAAAATCTGTAATTTATATGATTTATAGCTTTTAGCTTGGTTATATAATTTCTTAATAAATCGACACGATCGACACTAATTTTGCTTCTGCCATCTAGTAAACAGCCCTCATACCAAAAATTATGTGTAAAAATCTGTAACTTATATGATTTATAGCTTTCAGCTTGGTTATATAATTCTTTATAATTCAAAGTTTATAATAATTCTAGTTCAAATTAAACTATTTTCCCTTTATGCAACCAGATATACATTAGTTTAAATTAAATTATAGAATAGACTGTTTCCATAATTCACCGGTATACGATTACCGTTTTTTTATATTGTTGAAAACTGTTGAAAACAATATTGCAACACATAATAATATAGTAATATAAATAGATATTTTATATGATATTCAATCAGATATACAGAATTTTTCAAAAAATTGCCTCTGATTTTTCTTACGCCATCTAGTTAACAGAACTTGTACTTAAAATTATGTGTAGAATTCTGTCACTTATATGATTCAAATCTTTCAACTCTCTGCCAGATGTCTCTGTATATCACGCCTACATTTTGTTATATAACAAAGAAAAAATGCATAAAGCGTTTTTCCATAGGTAAATGGGATTTAAATTTATTAACTTACTAAATATAGTTATGTGGAAGATATAGTATATTAAATAAAAACACGGAGTGATGTTTAACAAATATTTTCTTTATTGGCAATGTACAATTATATCTATTACATTGATTTATCATGATTTTCTTTAGGTTTTTTTCTATAATATGTCATTTTTATTTTACGTACTTTTTTCAGTTAAATATATTTTACTGTAGGCCTACAAGATTGTCGTTCAGATGTATTTGCTTATCGCAAAATGTTTATCCATTCTTTTTCCATCAAACAAATTTTCAAAAAAATATATTTTACTTTCGTTTTTTTGCGATAAGCAATATACACGTATAACAATAGTTTATAATTATTTGCTTTACATGATTATTCATTAAAATTATGAATAGATTTTTTCAATTACTTTACAATGGTTCACATTGAATAGACAAACAAAAAATCTTCTAAAAAAATCACAGAAAAATAAGTGCAGTAAAAGAATCAGTCATCTTATGAATTTTGTGCAATCACAATGACCGACATTTTTACTGACATCTAACAAAATACTTTGTAATTGAAAAAAAAACAATGTCATAGTAGTTAATATTATTTCTAAGCCTACTATCACACGCTTTTTAATCAATCACGCCGTGTCATTGAGCAAATTTAATCAATAATTAGAAAAATAAGTTTCTTTAATCTTTCTTTCTTGAATACATACCGGGTAGGTCACTATCAATATCATTTATTTACATTAAATCTAAAACATTATCACAGAAAGTAGTAAACCATTGAAGACAGAAATATTTACATATAAAAAACATTTTTCCTCAATAATTCATCAAATATTTCTGTCTTCAGAAATAACAGGATTCAAACTTGACATGTTTATGTTATTTTAATAATTTTTCTAACATAGAATAACTTTAAAGTCTTCTTTATATTGCTTTTGGTATACAGTTATATATTTTATTTATTTTTTAAAAAAATTAGCACTAAAAATATTCAGGCATTAAAATGGAAGAGCCTAGTATCAAAAGAAAACTACTACTAGTTAAAGAAACTAATAAACACACAAGAATTAAAAAACTACTACTAATTCACTCAGTAAAAAAAAATTTTAAAAATATTTTTTTTTGGAAAACAAAGTAATACGTGTTTTTAGGTTTAATCTTTAGGAATATAAGTTGTAACAGTTACTCGTCTTATTATCTATGTATATACAAGTTAGAATGGTACAACTATTTATATACAAGTCGTTTTTGAGGAAGGCATTCGCGTAAAATACGCATTTTTACAAACTTCTATATTTTCTTTATAAATAAAAGCAAATATATTTGAAATTTAAAACTTTTAATTTTAAACAAAACATTTACAAAGTATAGTATATTTTACAAAAAAAGTTAAATAAAAATTTGCTATTAAAAATAAAATTTAATTACAGAATATTAATGTTTTAATAATATATTTTTAGCTTTATTTTACTATTCTATTTTAAAGATGATTCAGTGAATATTGATCTGAATTTAAAATAGCCAGTTATTCATAATTTGTAGGTACATTGATATTGAAAGGAGCAGAATTTTCTAATTATAAAATACACTATACTTAAATATTTAATGATTTTCAAAAATACATATTAATTCTTTAAGCAAAAGCCAGGAATTCCAAATTTGCAACAAAAAATACAATCTTGAAAGTTTTTTAAAGTTACTCAAAAACGTCAAAACAAATATAATAATTCCATATCATTTTTCTAAAGTTTTATTTATCTTACCTACTACTACTACTCCCATTACTCGCTGACGAGTATTTGCAATACGGCACCCAGTTTTCGCATCCATATAACGGTGGGGATTATTATTCCTCGGTACAGTGGAAGTTTTGCTTATCTGACCACCAGTATATTGTAAAATAAAATAAAAATTAGATTTTTTAAAAAACGTTTTTGAGTAACTTTATCAAATTTTCTTTATAATAACTGTTTTTTTTTCGGTCTAACCAAACTGAGTAAGATTAATATATCACAGCCTTTCGTCCCTCACGCCGGGTGAGCAATCCTGTGGCTAGAGGAACCTGGGAGGTGTCTTCCAGCGTCCGAAACAACAGGGCAGGGCGCAAAGGAGGGTGTCCTTGAAGGCTTCCCGGAAGTCCCTGTTGAAGTAGGCGTAGATCAAAGGATTAAGGGCTGAATTGAAGTAGCCCACCCAGAACAGCATGCCTATGAGCCAGTCGGGAGTTGGACAGTAGTGTTCACCGCAGAGCGTTGTGATTACATACCTGTAAATAAAAAATAAAACGGTGATAGTTGAGTGATGTTTAAAGATTTATATGGTATTAAGGTATAAATATTTATATTATTTATTATGAGTAGCAGACTTCAAGACTGTATCAAGATTTCTTTCGCTAATAAAAATCGATAAATCGATAAATCGCTAAATCTATAAATCGATAAATCAATAAATCAATAAATCAATAAATCGATAAATCAATAAATCGATAAATCAATAAATCAATAAATCAATAAATCAATAAATCAATAAATCAATAAATCAATAAATCAATAAATCAATAAATCAATAAATCAATAAATCAATAAATCAATAAATCAATAAATCAATAAATCAATAAATCAATAAATCAATAAATCAATAAATCAATAAATCAATAAATCAATAAATCAATAAATCAATAAATCAATAAATCAATAAATCAATAAATCAATAAATCAATAAATCAATAAATCAATAAATCAATAAATCAATAAATCAATAAATCAATAAATCAATAAATCAATAAATCAATAAATCAATAAATCAATAAATCAATAAATCAATAAATCAATAAATCAATAAATCAATAAATCAATAAATCAATAAATCAATAAATCAATAAATCAATAAATCAATAAATCAATAAATCAATAAATCAATAAATCAATAAATCAATAAATCAATAAATCAATATATCAATAAATCAATAAATCAATAAATCAATAAATCAATAAATCAATAAATCAATAAATCAATAAATCAATAAATCAATAAATCAATAAATCAATAAATCAATAAATCAATAAATCAATAAATCAATAAATCAATAAATCAATAAATCAATAAATCAATAAATCAATAAATCAATAAATCAATAAATCAATAAATCAATAAATCAATAAATCAATAAATCAATAAATCAATAAATCAATAAATCAATAAATCAATAAATCAATAAATCAATAAATCAATAAATCAATAAATCAATAAATCAATAAATCAATAAATCAATAAATCAATAAATCAATAAATCAATAAATCAATAAATCAATAAATCAATAAATCAATAAATCAATAAATCAATAAATCAATAAATCAATAAATCAATAAATCAATAAATCAATAAATCAATAAATCAATAAATCAATAAATCAATAAATCAATAAATCAATAAATCAATAAATCAATAAATCAATAAATCAATAAATCAATAAATCAATAAATCGATAAATCAATAAATCAATAAATCAATAAATCAATAAATCAATAAATCAATAAATCAATAAATCAATAAATCAATAAATCAATAAATCGATAAATCGATAATGATTTTTAGATTTTTAAATTCAAGGTTTTTTTTGCTCATACGGTATTATATTCAAAACCATGAATCTTTAATTTAAAAAATAAATTGGCAGCAATAAAATTTGTTACTTTCCTAGCTATTCGAAACTTTCAAGCATTTTGAAGTATCTTTAGTGCTTCAAAAAGAATGACTTATAAAATTTAAGTACCGTTTTAATTAAAAATTCAATCTTTTCATCAATTTTACCCAAAAGAAACTTTAGTTAAAAGTTGGTATTGGTCCAAAATCTCTAACTATTGGTCTCTTCTATCTGAGAGTCATTCCAAAAGGTAATTAATTTAATTAATAAGACACGTTCAAGATCAAAGTAAGGAGGATTCTCCTAGTTATAACATGCGGTAAATAGCCTCCTCATGACGCAGAAGTTTACTATGCGATACGTTATTCCAACCTAATAAGCTTCTGGATATACATATATAGAGAACAGAAAGTTATTTAGAGAGATCCATGCAAGATAGACAAGAGAAATATTTCCTAACAGTTTGAAGTTTGGTGGAAAGTTTGAAGGAATTTTGATGTGGGCCATTCTAATAATATACATGCGTGCTTATTTATAGAATGACGTTATCTGAAACTATTCGAGAAGTTGTCTTGCATAGACTAAGTTCACTTTCTTAATATGCTTTTTAAATATTGATTAGTAAATAATTTTGATTTTAATTAATTCGAGACAATAGATGAAAACCAAAAACTCATGAAATAATGTTACAGGGTGTTTTTAAGGACATGCTAATATTGGATGGGGGTGATTCTTGGACCAATTGGATCGGTGTAGATTTAAAAGGTTTATAACTAAGGTTTATTTATTTATATTATTCATCTGAGGTAGTTTATTCTTAACAAATATAATATTATTCCTAATAAATGCAACTTTGGATAGTTTTATTTATTTATCGATAGAATAACAGAGAAATTGGAGTGTAAATCATGCTAGCCGGTTAAAGTTGGGAATATCCTCTCCCTGTTTAATACCGGTTCAGAACACGTAAGCGCAAGTAAAGTTTCTCGTTTTATTTTTGTTCCTTGTAGCCCGCACCGAAAATTAGTTCTGTGCAGGAGAATTATTTGCTTGCACTGGCACTCACCAACGGATATTATTTTAGAGTTGTGCTGCATTTAATAGAGTAGAAGTGGACTTATCGGACAAAGCCCGATATTAGTAATTGCAAGTAATAATAATTCTCTATCATTGATCTATGGTGTTTGGTTAGATCTAGATTTTTTTCTCAATAAAATATAACCTGGACGGAGTACTGTATTATGCAAAAGATTATGAAGCTACGTTTTATATTCAATCCTCGTATGGTCCATTTTTTTCTATTTTGCACATTTTTCCATAAAGTGAATTAGATTATTCTTAGATACATTTTAAAATACATAGAAAAATCTTTCCTTAAAGTAGTTTCCGTAAAGTTGGGAACTAATCGTACATTTTTAGGTACGATTGGTTGGTTGAAGTGGCGAATGGAACTCATGTCGAACTCCAATTAGCAGAATTGCCATTTAAATACAACTGAAAGACCCACAAAAAAACCCTAACCGTAGGGATAGTACACTTGGATCGTTAAATTTTTACAATCATTTGATTGCGATGGCGATTGCGATTGCGATTACGATTGGAACTGCGATTACGAATAATCAGTTGCGATCGCAAATCGCAAACCCTAAATCGTAAATCTTGTAAAGAATTAATTAATTGCAAAACATTGACATTGAAATTTGGAAATTTTTTTTAAAGGATTAGCCATTTTAGAAGAAGCAAAATTTTTATGAAGAACGCATTTTTCTCAATATGTCAATAATAAAAAAGTTTTTCCTCTTGTAAAGACAATCCGGGAAAATGCTGTTTAACATTTTACGAATTTAGCTAAAAATCTACATTTAAAAACAACTTTGTTGAAAATCTAATAATTTTGCAGCTAAAAACTGTTAGGACACTGATATAGCCTAAACAGTGGTTATATTGCAACTCTGTATATGAACTAATATGAAACAATTTTTTTTGCTCATATAAAACACTTGTCTTTACCTAGCTGGCTAGAAGTCAGTTTAATTGTGTTACTTTTATTTTTGTTTTTATATTCCCAAACCAAAATTGTAATTTTTAACAAATATAAAAAAAAGAAGGGTCGTAACTGGCGCAGTCTAGTCGGTAGGATTCTCAAATCGTTGCGCAAAGACAAATTTTCGGCTAGAACAGTCTTCAGAGAGAGAAACCAAGACGCCCATTCTATCGAGGATCTTCCAGTTGCCGGCTCTAAATACAATAATTGTTCAAAATCGCAAACTCTATAACCACGACTGCGATTAGGATTGCGTTTATGTAATTGTAATTGTAATTATTATTATAACAATTACAATTACTTAATCGCAATCCTTTAAATAATTATTACAATTACAATTACTTAATCGCGATTCTAATCGCAGTCGTAGTCGCAAATCGCAAATTGCAAGACAGCAAGACGCAATTGAGAGTCGCAATCGCATGCCGTAAATTGCAAATTACAAACTCGCCAATTGCATGACGCAGTTGCAAGTCGCACTGGAAAATCGCACTCCCACGTCGCAATCGCAAGTCGCAAACGAAAAAGAGAGAAAGAGAAAGAGAGATCAATAAATCGATAAATTGATAAATTCTCTTTATCTCTCGATTTATCGATTTATGCAATAGCAAGGTGCAATCGCAAGTCGCAAGAAGGGTCGTAACTGGCGCAGTCTAGTCGGTACGATTCTCAAATCGTTGCGCAAAGACATATTTTCGGCTAGAACAGTCTTTAGAGAGAGAAACCAAGACGCCCATTCCATCGAGGATCTTCCAGTTGCCGGCTCTAAATACAATAATTGTTCAAAATCGCAAATTCTATAACTACGAGTGCGATTAGGATTGCGTTTAAGTAATTGTAATTGTAATTATTATTATTACAATTACAATTACTTAATCGCAATCCTAATCGCAGTCGTAGTCGCAAATCGCAAATTGCAAGACAGCAAGACGCAATTGCGAGTCGCAATCGCATGCCGTAAATTGCAAATTACAAACTCGCCAATTGCATGACGCAGTTGCAAGTCGCAATGGTAAATCGCACACCTATGTCGCAATCGCAAGTCGCAATCGAAAAAGAGAGAAAGAGAAAGAGAGATCAATAAATCGATAAATTGATAAATTCTCTTTATCTCTCGATTTATCGATTTATGCAATAGCAAGGTGCAATCGCAAGTCGGAAGAAGGGTCGTAACTGGCGCAGTCTAGTCGGTACGATTCTCAAATTGTTGCGCAATGACATATTTTCGGCTAGAACAGTCTTCAGAGAGAGAAACCAAGACGCCCATTCCATCGAGGATCTTCCAGTTGCCGGCTCTAAATACAATAATTGTTCAAAATCGCAAATTCTATAACTACGACTGCGATTAGGATTGCGTTTAAGTAATTGTAATTGTAATTATTATTATTAAAATTACAATTACTTAATCGCAATCCTAATCGCAGTCCTAGTCGCAAATCGCAAATTGCAAGACGCAATTGCGAGTCGTAATCGCATGCCGTAAATTGAAAATTACAAACTCGCCAATTGCATGACGCAGTTGCAAGTCGCAATCGCATATCGCAAGTCGCAAGTCGCAATGGCAAATCGCACTCCCATGTCACAATCGCAAGTCGCAATCGAAAAAGAGAGAAAGAGAGATCAATAAATCGATAAATTCTCTTTATCTCTCGATTTATCGATTTATGCAATAGCAAGTCGCAATCGCAAGTCGCTATTGTAATTAGTAATTAGTAATTAGTAATTAGGAATTGCGACATGCGATTGCGATTGCGACTAGCGATTGCGACTAGCGATTGCGACTAGCGATTGCGACTAGCGATTGCGACTAGCGATTGCGACTTGCGATTGCGACATGCGATTGCGACTTGCGATTGCGACTTGCGATTGCGACTTGCGATTGCGACTTGCGATTGCGACTTGCGATTGCGACTTGCGATTGCGACTTGCGATTGCGACTTGCGATTGCGACTTGCGATTGCGACTTGCGATTGCGACATGCGATTGCGACTTGCGATTGCGACATGCGATTGCGACTTGCGATTGCGACTTGCGATTGCGACTTGCGATTGCGACTTGCGATTGCGACTTACGATTGCGAATTGCGATTGCGACTTGCGATTGGGACTTGCGCTTGACACTTGCGACTGCCACTTGCAATTGCGATTTGCCATTGCGACTTGCGACATGCGATTCCGACTTGCAACTGCGTCATGCAATTTGCGATTTGCGACTACGACTGCGATTAGGATTGCGATTAAGTAATTGTAATTGTAATAATAATTATTTAAAGGATTGCGATTAAGTAATTGTAATTGTAATAACAATAATTACAATTACAATTACTTAAACGCAATCCTAATCGCAGTCGTAGTCGCAAATCGCAAATTCAGATAGAATTTGCGATTTTGATCAATTATTGTATTTAGAGCCGGCAACTGGAAGATCCTCGATGGAATGGGCGTCTTGGTTTCTCTCTCTGAAGACTGTTCTAGCCGAAAATTTGTCTTTGCGCAACGATTTGAGAATCGTACCGACTTAGACTACGCCAGTTACGACCCTTCTTGCGATAAATCGAGAGATAAAGAGAATTTATCAATTTATCGATTTATTGATCTCTCTTTCTCTTTCTCTCTTTTTCGATTGCGACTTGCGATTACGACATGGGAGTGCGATTTGCCATTGCGACTTGCGACATGCAATTGCAATTTACGGCATGCGATTGCGACTCGCAATTGCGTCTTGCAATTTGCGACTACGACTGTGATTAGGATTACGATTAAGTAATTGTAATAGAGCCGGCAAATGGAAGATTCTCGATGGAATGGGCGTCTTGGTTTCTCTCTCTGAAGACTGTTCTAGCCGAAAATTTGTCTTTGCGCAACGATTTGAGAATCGTACCGACTAGACTGCGCCAGTTACGACCCCTCTTGCGACTTGCGATTGCGACTTGCTATTGCATAAATCGATAAATCGAGAGAGAAAGAGAATTTATCGATTTATAGATTTATCGATTTATCGATTTATTGATCTCTCTTTCTCTTTCTCTTTCAATTTCTCTTTCTCTTAATAAGAAAAGAGTTTTCTCCCTCTTGTAAAGACAATCCGGGGACATACTGTAGGAAATTTAAATCTTTAAAAAAATCCATTTTCTATTACTGAACTCTCTTCAACTAAGGATTATATTTTTAAAAGAAATATCTCATTATAAAACAATAATGTGACAAATATCGCAGCCTTAGATATTGTATTTCTCGTCAGACATCTGATACAAGCACGTTTTATTTATATGAATATGTTTTCTTTTTGATTTTTCTCCGGGAAAGCAAAGCAAACACGACGCAGTAAGAAGTTTTTCCGGCCTTATAAATCAAGTATCCATTAGAATAACTTTTGCCGGAGTCGCACAAGTCTGCTGGAAAAACTTTTCGCATTGTTGTGGGTGTTACACTATACACAACGGTTTCCTCTCTCTCTCCTAGCTCGTAACTTTATATTTAAGACTGATACATGAAGTGGAAGAAGTCGTAAATAACTGGAAATCTAAAATGGAAACGGTCGCAGTTCAAATTATAATACCGGATCAAGTTGTTTTTCGTATTTGTGGAGCTAAAAATAAATCTATTATCTCTATTCTTAGAAATAAATGAAAATGTCATCTTAAATTAAAACGCGTGTTTTTTGTGTACAAGATAAACAGGGTGTTCCTTCGTGGCATGCTACTATTTAAGGGGACGATTCATATTTTATTCATCATTTATTTATGTCTCTAAAACATCTTAAATTTTAAAACAGTATAGAAATTTGGAAAATAATTTTAGAACAAGCAAAAATTTTAGTTTCACAATAATTTTTCCCAGATCTCAATGCTCACCATCGAATTTTGGACACTCCCTATATTCTTTTTGATACCTAGACTGATATTTTGGTATTCAAATAGGGATGAATGTAAAGTGTTTCCCACTTGGGTCTCCTTCCGGAAAATTTCGGCTACGCTTCGTGCGGATTTCCTTCCGCTTTATTAACGGTGTATGCGGAAAGTCGATTTCCTTCAGATAAAGTAAACACAGTTGCCAGATCCAAAAAAATCCTCAAAAGAACAGCTTCTAAAATAGAGGATAGGGATAGGAGATAACCATTACTTGTAGCGATTTTTACCAAGAGACCTTTTTTACATAAAAAACGTCGCAAATGTATGTTTTTTTAATCAATAGTTTTATACAGGTACGGACAAAAAGTTATTACTCTTTAAACCAGTTAAAAAATATGTAGATGGGATCCTCTACAAGTAGAAGTCATATTGACATCAAAATCAAATTTCTCATGTCAATAAACTACCAGACACCAATTTTCATCCAAATATTGACGTTACTACAGAAATTATTTGAAGAATATTGAAATAAAAATGAAATTTCTACACCCTGTATCTTCGAAACTAAGCATTTTAGGACACAAGCTTATACGAACTTTTTTACTTATTTTTATTTACAGAATACATAATTTCCGGAACACAGTTCGGACCACCCTGTATATCATTATACTTTTGATTTGGCTTTTTTGCGATGAAACCTATAAATTGCATGATTTGTTGATTGATAAAACAGGTATTTCCATTTGTAAATATGCACATGTTATATGAAAAAAATCTCCGTAGATTAATCTATAAACTTGGCAACGTTGGGGGGAGCGCGAGCGAAAAAGAAAAACGAATGTATCTCTGGTTTTCCGCTCTTTTTATTTCTGTTCAACGGTAAAGATTTCTCTATCTCTCTCTCTTTCTCAATAAAGCAGTCAAATAGGGGTCTTATCTTGGCTGATTTACTCCGAGGAATAAAAAATGGATACTCTAACTGAACCTAAAGGGTATTTGAATAGCATTTTGTTTAATTTTGCATGTGGGAACGTTTGAGATAATCTTATTGTGCAATAAGTTAAAATAATAATGGATATTTAAGAACGTGCCTCTGTGTACCTAGGTGTAAAGTAAAGAAGTAAAGTAAAGATTTCAGTTAACGTCTCCTTTTTGCTGCCAGGGCTAATCTGGACGGGGCCTACTTTGTTTACGTTACGAATCCGAACAGCGGTCCTCGGCCATATCATGGTCAATGGCCTACCGACTTGGCAAGTGTCTAAATCAACTCTTACTCACGAGTAAGTGTGTCAATAGATTTTTTTACACTTTTGCCTTTATTGGACAACAGCACGATACAGAGTTTCGATCCGGTCACCCATCCATCAACTAGTATCGCCTTACGTCGCTTAACTTCGGTGTTCTAATGAGAACTGGTATTTCGACGTAGCTGGGCCGTTGCGCTGTACCTAGATGTGATCTCAGAAATGACAATGTACCAATACACCTGCCTGTTTAACATTTTAATAACATTTTTCTACAAAATGGTCAATACACTGGACAATTTAAAAATGTATTTTAAGTTTGCTTACCATAGAAAAAACGGCAACCAACATAGAATGAACACGCCCATTATTATTCCTAGTGTTCTCGCTGCTTTGTGTTCAGCTCTCCAACTTTTGGATTGCTGTCTTATCGTTGTACCTGAAAGAAATGAAAAACCTTTAAATACGATGTCCAAAACAACTATTTAAATTAAAATAGTAAATATAGAAATAGTATTTGATGTTCGTTGAGGATAATATTATTTTATTTGATGTTTGTTCAGGACAATGATATTCCAGGTTACGAACAGAGTTTTCCAGGTTCTTGAGTTCTGTAAATCAACTAGCAGAAGAGTTTTGATATAAAATCACACGGAATAAGCAAGTTACTTCACTCACAAAAACGTACCTTAAAATTACTGAACTATAACCTTAAATATAATATATTTCAAAGAAATTCAATTAACATTGTGAGATAATAAAATTATATTCTCGAGTTTCTAGTTTTTCAGGCAAAAATTAATGTAGTTTTACCGAAACTTTTTCTTTCCTAGATCTAGCGATTCGACCTTTATGCAAATTTAATATCTGGCAAAGAAACTAATTTCGAGTAGAGTACTAATTAAAAAATTCCAGAGCGGACATTTAAATCTGGTTAAAAGCGTGGGCTATAGGGCTGGTAATACCATCGTTGGAACCAGAGAGTTTAGAGAACTTTTTTGAAACACATATCCTTTTACCCTCGTTCCTTTGATCTGCTGTATATGTGTGGAGATAACTGATAAGCCGAGAAGTTAAAGTATATTTTTAGGGCTTTTGAAGTTTGATTTTCAGTAAATATAAATATGTACTTATAATTAAAATGCTGTCCAGAAAAATTGTGCGAGTCGGACTCGCGCACGAAGGGTTCCGTACCATTCATTATCTAGACAACATTAGACACTATATTATTATAAACTTTTTTACCGATTTAGCTGAAATTTTGAATGCGCGTTTAAGTAATTTAAAAAAAATGAAGAAACACATTACTATAAAAATGGTATTAACCCATAATAAATATGTAAAAAGTAAAAATAAATATGTAAAAATTTATATATATATATATAAAAAAACCATTAAAAAAAGTCGCCTTAACTAGGATTCGAACCTGCCTTACTACGGCTCCAACGTCATAGCAACGTAAAGTCCTAACGTTTTAACCACGCGGCCACCGAGGACTTGAAAGATTCTATGTAAAATTCTTACTTAAAAGATAATGTTTAGTGAAAGTACTTTTTTATTTATAAACATTTATTTAATTCTGTTTTTAGTATTTGTTCTTATAGCGGCAACATAGATACATTATCTGTAAAAATTTCAACTGTCTAGCTATAATGGTTCGTAAGATAGACCTTTGTGACAGACGGACGGACGGACGGACGGACAGCGAAGTCTTAGTAATAGGATTCCCGTTTTTACCCTATGGGTACGGAACCCTAAAAACACTAAAATCCAAATTTATTTTGGTTTATTGGAACTTTAATATATGAAAACAAACATTTTGTGACTTTTAAGTGCTCTTTTACTGACAATTTTCCACGATTAGAAACCTAAAAATACTGACGTATATCTAAAATTAGGAATTGCGATTTGCGATTGCGATTTGCGATTTGCCCTTGCGACATGCGATTGCGACTTGCGACTTGCGACTTGCGACATGCGACATGCGACTTGCGACTTGCGACTTGCGACTTGCGACTTGCTTTGGGTACGGAACCCTAAAAACACTAAAAAATCTTCCAGATTTTGGTTTAATGGAACTTTAATATAAGAAAACAAATATTTTGTGACTATTAAGTGCTCTTTTACTGACAATATTCCACGAATAGAAACCTAAAAATACTGGCGTATATCTAAAATTAGAAATTGCCTCATTTTGGCCAAAGAATAATCACTCCACAATATCCAACTGGCCGCCGGGACAGTAGTATTGCGTGATACGATCCAATCCATGCTGCCTTGTAATTTATATAGGCTTACTGGGAACGGACTTTTATTTAAAAAACACCGTTTTTTCTAGTTTTAATGAAAGGGAAATCTGATAGACACGGAAAAAGTGCGTAAAAACCACATAAATGAACAGTAATCAAAGCTAATGGTACTGTAATACTGAAAACCTGGATTTTGTTTGATTTGTACTTTTATTTTTCAAACATATTTAACTTGAGCATGTTTATTTTTTTAGACTATTTTTTCGTTAAAATAGCTTATTTTATTTGCGCGATTTATTTTTTGATACGCAAATGTTTTCCAAAAATTCAAAAGCGAACATCACCCCCTAGGGAGGATGTATCCATAAAGTTTGTCGAAACCAATTGAACAAAACTGTTCCCTGTCGATTTTTATTAACTCAATCGAAACTGCCACAGATTCGAACAGAAATTGAAACAATTATTTATGCGTCCACAAAAAAGCTACGCCGTTTTTTAACAAACGATAACAATATCCTAGGTATGCAAGTTCCAACCACAGAGACAAATCCAAAAGTTTCCTTGATTTTAGTAAGAACAATATTTAGATTGTTACGGGGTTTTTAACATCTCTTTATTTATTTTATTTATTACTGAATCAATAAAAGTTTAAAAGAAATCGAAATGATATTACCATAGAAACGCCTTTTGACTTTAGATCTTGGAAGAATTTTTTTAGGAAAAATTCCAACATATTTTCATGTTTTTCTTAATTTTCTCTAAAACTGTGTAGAAATTTGGAAAAGTATAAACGAGATTAGCCATTTTAAACAAGCAAAAATTTTTACGAAAAATGCATTTTTCGAAAAAAATAACAATAATAAAACAGTTTTTCCTCTTATAAACAATCCGCAACTGTATATACTTAGTTCATCTTTTATACATGATTTCTATAATACCATATGATATTTCTGAAAAAAAAATCCGCTGCAAATAAGAGAAGGATTTTCCAATAACCCGACTTTGCTCCAGACGAAATGCGAATTTTTCCGATGCGGTGTGACCTCAGAACAAAATTTAATTAATTTAACGCGAAACCCGACACAGACGTGACCCGATTGGGGGGCGTGGCGTATTTTAGAAGCTGGGAAGGGGAGGGAAGATCACCTATATCCGGTCTGTACCGCAGATCGCTTAAATTAAATCTGAAATATCGACATCGTCTCTACTTTTATTAAATTTAAGACCCTTAAAGATCTTAAGAACCCGATGTAATAAAACAAAATTCATCTTAAGCAAATTTAAAATTATGAAAAGCCCTATACTATGAGAGTCTCTTAAATAAAAGCAATTTTTTTAACTGATCAGATCCCAAGTTCATAGTATTTTGGCAAATACTATGAACTTTTCACCTTTCTGGAGATTTATTAAACTTATTTAAAAGCCCTGTATTTATAATTAATCCTTCAATCTCTTATATTATCAAGTGCTCAACGTTAGAGAGTATACCCATAGCGTTCTAGCTTTGGCTTTAGTCCTCTAATTGTTTCTCATCTTTCAAAAAACTTTCTTTTCGAAGCTCTTAGCTTTTAAGGGCTAGGCTCTAATCGCCATTCTTTCTCCATTGATAATTAAAAAGTTCCAGACGTGTCCCGGCTAAATAGCCCTCCATAAAATTATTACTCTAATGAAATCTTTACTTTCAGCGCCATTTTTATATTACTTTCGGCCTCTCCAAAACAAAAGTTTTTCGGAAAAACTTTCTAGTCATTTGTTGAACGACCCTGGGTTGTTAAAAAAAATATCTGTTCGTCTTTATCCAATAAGATATTTTATTTGTACGAGACCGTTATTGCAAATGCGAATATATTTTTTTACAAATCCGTATTCACTACATTCTTACTACGCGCACCCTGCAAATTTTTGCTGGAATACACAAAAGAATTTGGCGCTATTCATCATAACTGTCGTCGATTCTGATCGAAAATTTCCTTTTTCTGATGAACTGTCATCGGCGACAATAGATGCGAGATTGGAATTATCTTTTTAGGAGAAAAAAGCACGAAGAAATGTACATTTTTAATATTACTCAGGTTTTGTTGTGTCTATACTCGTATATAATTTTTTTCGGGATTCCGTACAGTATGCCTATCTTAACATTCCAGTAATATTGAAAATTATTAAATTTCTTAACTCATTAAACAAATAAGGAAATTGACTTTCTAACTCTTTGGTTAATTCATCCTGTACGTACAAGTATTTAATTCAAAACAGCAAGTTCTGGGTGGGTTTGGATTTCAATTAATGTAAAAACGAGTAAAATACTCGCCAACTTTATTTATTACAAAGGCTTTTAAGAAAATTGTTCTTTGCTAAAGGAATTGCCGGTTGCAAGTTAGGCAATGAAAGATGTACTCGCTTGGCTGAAAATAACTAGCTTGTTAAGAGAAAAAGCTTTCGTTACAACAAAACAACTTTACGCTGAAAGAATACTTGTTTGCGAACATTCAAACGTATAAATTCGCGATATTTCAATGGAATATGCCTTGAATAAGGAAAGTTGTAGTATTTTTGTATCTTATCGATAAAGAAGTGTGAGTCATGTCTAGTACGGTTATGCATAATTTTTTCTCCTAAGTATATGGATCACAAACGTAATTTAATTTGTTACTGCTTTAAACATACTTTTTTGAGTTTCTCAACAAAATAGTAGTTAGAATACCGTATAAAAACGATTATATGATTTCAACTATTTCTGCATGTACTATACATTTAACAAATCTTAGTAGAATTCTCTTTTTTAGATCTTTCTAACTATAACACATATGCTTAGTATCTCTCAACGAAATAGTCTTTTTTGTTCTCAAGGCGAAGAGGGATAATTATGACGGATTTTCTTGAAAATGGGAAAAGCTCTACGGAAAATGCGATTTAGTGCTCGGAGATGACGTTATTTTAGAGGAAAATCCGTAGAGTGGAGCCGCTAATTGCTTCAAAGACTCCACAGTTAATCCTTTAGGTAAACTTCGTCGTTTGTACTGAACAGCTGAATATACGGGCCAGCCATTTCAGAGGTTAAAATAGAATAATTCTTAGAAACAACGTCTCAGACAAATAATATAAATAGACACATCTTACGATACAAGACAAAGGTGGCCAAGATGTACAACCAAGATGTTTTTACATAGTTTTTATATATACCCTAAGAATC